ATTTTTTTTTTTTTTTTTTCATATAGTCAGCTATATCGATTGCAATAAACAACGCCGGTCGCCCTTGGGGTACCACTCCATTCCTAAGCGGATCAATATAGCCATTGTCAATATTCCTCTCTATCGTCTGAAAGAACTCTACCCGACATTCAACGCTTTATAGCTATAGCTGGCGTATTTTCCTACTCCGCCGATAACATATCCAAGCTAAGAGTCTTATTGATCTTACGGAACGGCAAGGAAAGCTTATAGGGTAATACCAAGGAGGTAGGAGGAGGAACTCCAAACAAGGAGGACCCGACCATCTTCTATTCAGGCGGGAAGAAACGCAAATTTGGCCTTCGAGAATCGCTAGTAATGCTTTCACGTGTGCTTTCCATCGCAGAGATAGAAAGACCGGCGATATAGTCGTTATGCGCACGCTCGGATTCATCATTATCGACGACGAAGAGACGATGGCGCAACGAGTCTGGTCCGGCGAGATGCAATAGCCGGTCGGCCAAAGTTCGTCAAGGTTAGTGAGGAGTCGAATATTACTGGTTCACGAAGGAAGAAGTCCGCAGCGTTGCTCTATACGAGCAGGCCACTCCACCGGATCCATTCACTTACTTCGGGCCAAAAGGGGCATGGTTCTACTTGCCTTTGAGTTGTTCAGACAATCCTATGGCCAGAATTTGCCACCTTCAATAGATATAGTGCGCTACGACGACAATACAAGGGGAACTTGGCAAAATGAATGAGTACCTTAGGAGCTCTCAAATGATGGCCACACGGAGAAAGCCTAGCACTTTATTTTCGGATTTTGATCTTTGTCAGAGCATTAGAGCGGTAACTTACCGCTAGCAAGGATTGTTGCAGAGAAGTCCAATACAAATTGTATGTCATTTTGGGCTTAGCTGAGAATCTGGTGTTATAATTACATACCGATTATTGGCGCATTGCGCTAGGCCTAGGGTATTTAACATGTCCTCCATCGCATGTCTTTCTATTTAGTGAATCAATCCTTTCATCCTGAATTGGTTCCGCTTGATCTTATTTACATTAGTTCATGCACTTTTAGCTGGTTCTGATAGTCTTCTTTAAGAGACCACCCACCGGAAAATATTTCAACCGATAGCATCACCTTGCGCTTTATACCTGTTCCTGGCCCCGAGCACGAATCCTGGGACAACGGGATTTCCTCGGAACTATATTGTAATGAATGGCTCCCGGAAGTCGGGAATGGGGCGTAAATTATGGAAAGCTGCGCCTCTCGCGATCCCGATCCCGATGTTACGGACATGCTAGTCACCTATCACATGTGGAGACCGCAACTCTTGATGGGCCACCAAGAGCCAACGGATCTATCTGCCATCATGCTCACGTGCAATATCCAATACTCAGGCATGCCCAGGTATTCAGGGAAAAGAGAAACCACGATCATGCTCAGTGAGCAAGAGCGTGATCCGCCCTGAGCACGACTGAAATCCGATACATACGTGGCTCAACATACATATCAGGGAAATGCCCACCCCGAGGACGCCATTTCCGGCTAACCCTTTACCGTCCGCAGTACTTCGCCCAAAAGGGTGTTGAGATAACGTGACCATGAAGCTACCCCTTGAGCTACTCCATGGGGTAGGCTCACGGGTAGATGGCAGCTACTCCAGTTGCTACCCTTGGGAGTTAGATCTGGGAAGGATATATAAGGACACTCATTCATGTACTTAGTTTAGTTCTTCGTCTTTGATCATACATTCTTACTTGTGTTACCTTTTTGGATTACTGTGACTCTTTACTTGATTATAACTTGATAATCCCTCGGTATAGATCTATTCGACGCTCTACCAGGCATCGTTCCTCGATACCGCAAAAGGACTCATCCTGCAGTAAGGCCTGTTAGGCAACGGTACGGTTGAGACAACAGATCGTTGACGTTGGAAGGCTGAGAAACATAAGGCAAGTATAACCCAGAACCATTCTAACCTAACTGTGACCAGTTTGCAGTGCATAACACCAGACTTGGGTTGCTCTAATGCTCAGTTTATGACCGACTTGCACTGATTAATTCTATTGAATTGGCAGGATTTCAATGCCTAATAATGCGCCACCGATCATCCGCTTTAAGTTTGCCAGCCAGGATTCGACTCCTGGGAAATTCTAATCCCCACCAGTTGGTGATGAACCAGAGCGCCACCACCAAAAAGAAAGCGCAAATGGATGGCCGAGAGGTCATCCAGCGAGTCTATGACATTTGCAGGGAAAAGGGTCCCTGGCAATACCTGTGCCCTTCTAATATTCCTATTCACACCAGAGTTCTTAGAATAGTCTATGTTGTAGGATAGATAATACTTTCCATGCAAGAACTGACATCTACACGCACCAATAATAAAGTGTCAGTAATAAAATGATCGAGGTCCTGCATCCAGCTCCACCATCTCAAATCTTGCCTTGGACTCCATAGCACTAAAATTGCTCCAACCATGCTCCTTCTGCCTATGTTGTTGGGACTATTTACAGTTCATACTAGCAGATGTCATTACCGCTAGCGGAAACTTCTAAAACGTAGTATAGGGCATTGGTTCAGGTCTTACTTTTAAAATTTACCCAGTTTTTAAATGGAATGATGAATACAACTCGTTACTGAACGCAACCTCGAAGCGTATCTCCCATAATAAGGTATAAATACGCCGCAAGGTCTGCTGTTCATAATATCTTTTTCATTATTCAGCAGCCTTTCAAGCAGTTTGTGTTGATCATCATGAAGCTACTTACTCTTCTCGCATTGCTCTCGCCAGCTCAATGCCTGACCCTAGGTCTTGGTGACTTGCTCTCGAGTGTAACCTCGGTCCTTACAGCGTCTCAACAAGTCACATCTGAGCAGTCATTCTTCTCCTTCATTGACTCCATTGAGCAAGGCAGCGCACCTACTACTGTAGATGAAGTCGTCTTGGCCGCCGGGCGCGCCAGTAATGAATCGAACGGGGACCCTCTTGCATATGTTGGCCTGTTAAAACTGTTTGGGGTCCTAAATGGTATCGTTGAGCAAACAAGTGGTTGCGGAACGCCCTGCACGAGCAATAACCCAGGTAACCCTCCTGCACTGGGTGTGTACCAACAGATTGAGGGAGACGCTCCATGGTCTGTGCCGGAAGAGAGCCTAAGAAGCGCCCTATACATCCCTCCCGAGTTTACCTTTGGGGAGAAGATCCCGCTCATCTTTGTCCCAGGCACAGGTAAGCCATATTCTATTCTTTTCATCACTCACTCTAACGCATCTAGGCAACTATGGGCAACAGTCGTTTGGGGCGAATATGGGCAAAATATTTGGTGGGGGTTCGGTGGCGGATCCTGTTTACCTCAATGTCCCAAAATATCTACTCGACGATGCCCAGATCAACGGAGAGTACGTCGCGTATGCAGCGAAATATGTGAGCGCTATTTCAAATAACGCCAAAGTTGGTATTATGACTTGGTCCCAAGGTGAGCTCCATTCCCCGGTCTCCGTTCAAGATTTTTCAAGTATCATCGAACCGGAAAAGAGAAGAGAAACAGACATCTGATGAACATCTTAGGTTCGGTCGATACGGCTTGGGCTTTACAGTATTGGCCCTCTGCTCGGGAAGCTGTGACCGACGTTATCAATGTCTCCGCCGACTACAAAGGCACCCCCTTCCTTGATGTATTTTGCCTGTTGCCTGTTTGCCAATACTCTCTCTGGCAGCAACGGTCCACCGCGGAGTTCATCCGCACCCTTCGCGCTGGCGGCGGGTCTTCGGCGTACGTTCCCACCACGTCTATCATGAGCTTGACAGACGATTTCGTCCCACAGCTCGGCGGAGAAGCTGCAAGTGGGTACATCGAGGACGAGCGGAACGCCGGTGCCACAAATGTATTCCTCCAAGAGGCTTGCCCTCTACAGCTGGGCGGACTCGTATATACACACTCGGGCCCCATGTATAGCACCCTTGCGTACCAGGTGGCGGTCGATGCCCTAACCCATGACGGGCCGGGCGACCTCAACCGCGTGAACCTTCAAGAGGCTTGCGCGACTCTGGCGATCCCAGGCCTGTCGGTTTTGGATGTTGTGGCGACCGAGCTCACCACGGTATTGGCATTCTACAATATTTTTACGCATGCACCTCAATTTGGTGAGCCGTCAATTCGGGCATATGCAGAGTAAGAAAGAGCATATTCTTGAGTGAAGAGAGAATCAGAGAGATACAGTGAGAATGGGAAAAGGCAAATTGTGATATTGTTTGTGGGGATCTTATTTTTCCTTTCCTTTCTTCCTGAATATTCGTGCGTGTGTCTGTATCTAGGTATGTCACAAATAAGAATAAATAATAACAAATTACATACAGTGACGAGGCATTAATCTTAACACCTTGGCCCCATACCACATTATTACATAATATTCTGCCGGTCGAAATATCCGCCCAATATTAGCCAGGTAGCTAGTATAGGGTGCTTGCAACGTCAAAATTACCTTTCTGATAGACTATTGCCCTGAGAATTTAAACAGATTTTTAGATGCTTAAGAGGTTTCGGGCGCCTTAAATCAACACTTGATGAGCGGTTTGGTAAGCGGTAGAGGGCGGTGTGATCTGTGGGTCTCCAAAGGTGTTAGGATTAATGCGTTGTCACTGTCAGTGATATTTGAAATCAGTTTTACCTGCAAACTCTCTCTCTTTATTTCCTAGGCCCCACCTTAAATGCACTAGTCCTGATGAGGGTATCTTCCCGCCAGCCTGGCATCCGTCGATATGTGGGTGTAAATTACGGTAATCTCATCTCTTGGCAATAGTCAGTCTTTGGCCCAAACAGGACCACAGACGCGCTCGGCTTCACCCTATGTCGCTTTTCAATGAGTTGTTGTAAAATAAGTAATATAATGTACAGCCTGTCCGGGAAGTCAGGCTGCTTTACATTCAGTCTCTTTACACGTACAGTACAGCAATATTCAGAACAGATCCCCCCCACAGACACAGACAAATTGTTTTTCGGCCCGTATCCGAAACCGCCCTAAGCAGTATTTATTTGATCCCGTACTTGACCCCTGCCTAGTTGTATCGTTTCGAGCTTTGGTAGAATGTTCAAGACAGGATCTCAGTGTAAGTGAAAACCCCGTTCGTCAGGCAGGAACCTGTCAACCAGGCAAGGTATACGATGCTGATATCAATATCAAAATGGCGGGACAGAAACCAAGAGTATTATGCTCTCTCTGATAACAAAACTAATTCTCGAGGATCCCAACTCAGATCCTCTGCGAAGCATGAAGGTTCATGTAGGCTCGTCCCTGACATGATGTCGTAAGGGTGGCGGAAAGACAACATGCGGTTCGATGCCAGTCTAGGCTTCCGCCGTCATCCGATGTTGATATTCTACCATCCTCCATGGATGAAAGCAAATGGAGCCTCAGGCAACATGACAGCTTGCACAACTAGGCTAATGCGGGGAAATCCGTCACACTCATAAGTGTTCAGATCCGCTTCTTTCTTCCTTATTCCAGTCACAGCATCTTAAGTCTCAAATACTATCAAGAAACAGGAATGTCCGTCATTCAAATTCACCCTTCGGTCGACGTTATTTGGTGGACGGATACCGACCTTCATATCAGGTGTCCTTACTGCGAAGAGCTTCATCGCCATGGGTTCGTTTCCTACAAAAGTGCGCTTCGTGTGCCGCACTGTGGCATGCCTCGGCCGTCATATCGGTTTGAATTCCCTAATGCCTACGAGATCGATAAGACTAGAGCACGTTTTATCAACATCAACACCCCTGAAGATTTGGAGAGTGAGGCTGAGAATAGGTCTGAAGATGAGACATCTTTGTCGGGTGGAATTTCCAACATGAATTTATCTGAAACACCAAACGGTCCTCACCAAAGTGAGGTCACCTTCGCTGATTCTACGGAGGAAATCACCTTCCAACTTGATGGTGAAGAGCCTTTTAATGAGCGGCGCATCCTCTTCGCTATATCAGACTGTGTCTATGGCAAAGTATCCAGTGTGAGAAACTACCTAGAACAAACATCGGAAAAATCGATATTTCTTCACGGGAAAGATCACAACGGAGATACTTGCCTCATCATGGCTTCTCGAGGGGAAAACCCGATCATGGTTTCTCTTCTCCTCGATTATGGCGCTGAAATAAACGCGGCGAACAAGAACGGAAGGACCGCACTCATGGAGGCATCCCTTTGGGGCAGACTGGAAAGTGCAACGATACTTCTTTCTCGGGGCGCAGATCGAAATTTGTATGACAAGAAAAGTCAACGAGCTCTCGATCTTACCCATCCAACTCACCGAAACCGGAAAGAGAGGCACACGGTCGCAGGTGGGATCTGGGGCGATCCGTCCAAAGACCCCATTTACAAGGAGGCTGTTCTCAACCGAGATTCTGATCGGCGTGAGATTGCAAGGGTTCTCCGCGGGAGAGAAGTGCGTACGAGGGCCGATTTGGAGTCACAAGAATTTGAAACGACCTATCACTCGTTCAGAAGATCCCCCGATGGTCAGTCAGTCACTCATTATGGTCCGATTCGGCAGTACCCCATATCTAGCTCTGTCAAAACAGTTGCCGTCCTGGAAAGGGGCCGGGCTTTTCCTTCTATAGCGGCGATGAGTGGCTGGGGGCATTCGGAATGGCCTTCAACCAGGGTGAGTGGCAGAAATTGGACTGCAATAGTCCTAAAATTAGCTGCTATTGTTGGCCATGCCTTGTCTGCCCATGCTGCAAGAGACCAAGGAATTCAAGGACAGTTCCAAGCATCCCACGCCGAGAAGCAGTTGATCGCCTATTTCCTTGACCGGCATGTTTTTCTACAGCAGGATAAGACCCTAAACCCGCGATTCGACGAAGAAATCGAGAATCAAGAATCGGAGATCTCGGAAATGGCCTCCCGATTTTCTAGCATCCGTCAAATGTATCGCCTTCAAAAAGATAGGAAGGAAGTGGTATTTGAGCTATGGAACAAAGACGATAAATTACTCGGGGATGAATATGATGAGGAAGTGGTGCAGGGCTTGAAATCAAAAGTCGCATCCCTTGATGAGGAAATTGCTGTCCTCGAACGTCGTCCCGAAACAAGGCAAATGAGGGCTCGAGAGCGTCAGATACGGCTGATCGAACGTCAAAAAAGGCTTCATGAGCGCCTTAACCGCATGTCAGCAAAGGAGCCAGAAAGAACTTTGCGACGGGCAACTATACTGATAAGCGCACCTATGCATGAGGTTTGTGAGGACTGCTTGCTGTTTAAGAACAGGGTCAACCACTTCTTCGGTCTACAGATTGAGTTGCGTGAGTGTACAACGTGAGGCTTGTCGGTGGGCTTCTGACTTTGGGTATTCATCTAAATCGATGAATTTGGGTTCTTCTTTGTCTGTGATCATCTTTCGTAGGCCCCTATCCGAAGCCGCACTAAGCTTGTATTTGGCCGAGGCGGATATAATCATTTTCTACATCTGCGACCCGTGTCCACTTAAATGCCTACTAATGGCTCCACAAATTTAGTTTACTGCGTTCAAAGAGAGCGGTTCGATAACGACGTGTACGAAAGGTGGGCAAACCAGTTGAAACTCTGTAGCTTCGATTGGGACAGTCTTGGTGCCATATTGGGCATAGGATTCTAGCAATCCTTGAGGGAGTGGCAGCATACAGATGCCCTAGGGAATGAGAGTACGGAGGGGCACGCATGTGGAAGCGTATCAAAGTTTCCTGTAATATACACCAGCGCACGTATTGCACTGGTCCTAGTATTACTTCACTCTTCATGCTGCAATCACTATCTTATTATACCGAGTAAGGCTTTATAGACTTTGTCTTTTACCAGTTCAAATTGCCCCGCAAAGAATACATTGACGAAATCTCGGATGACTCGTTCGACAGCGTTGATGCAACTTATAAATACACGAACCGAAGCAAGGTTAGTGTCATGCAATCTAAAATTATGGTACTAAAGCTGTATTTAATGCCGGCTCAATGTAGATAAATCGACGATGTAAAAGGCTGGCGGGAAGATCCCCTAATCTGGATTAGCGCATTCAAGGTGGGGCCGAGGAAATAAAGAGAGAGAGTGATTTCGAATATCACTGTATGTACATGTATATATTCTTATAAGCTTCTCTGATTCTCAGTTTATTTAGTCTACGTATCTGAATATCACCGAGTAGCAATTTATTAAGTCTTTAATATTTATAATATTCTGCTCTAGTATCGAGCCTTGTCGGCCACATTTACTTGATCATGAAGAATATTCCACGAGGTACTTAGATTGGGCCAAAGACCAGCCTGCGGCCACACATGGCAATGTTGTTACCCAGGAATCTGCGGCTTCAATATCTGGATGCCGATATGCCAGTAAATTATATAGTATAGAGATATGCACGAGGTTCTGCCTAGGCTATTACAGGTATGGGAAATAACTAATATGACCTGGAGAGGAGAACAACTTATTGAGGCCCCAGCGCAGATCACCTGGGCAGCTCAGGAGGATGACTAAGGTGGGCAGAATAGTGGTGGTCCAGGGTGATGGGGCGATCAAGCGGCGGCTTGCCGCTGGAAGTTACGGTGGAAAGGCGGCCGTTTCTGGCGCCAGAAGCTGTCATTTTCGGCGTCACTTTCACAGTCCTTATATTCTGTTGTAAAAATGTCTTTCGTTTCCGTGTTGCGGCTAAGCTAAGCTGGTAATTTCCCAGGATTACCTGATAGAATCCACGGTCTTTTCTCCCAGAATTCATCTTTGATGATATCGACATGGTCAATCACGACCTGTGCTTTTCGGCGTAGTTTCCGGATCTTGTCTTGCTGTGACTTCGACTGCTTAGACTCAAACACCGGTGCTTCTTCGTCGGCAAGTGATTTCGTAGGCTTGGGTTCCTCCAGCTCGTACTGTGACAGAAGTGTCAGAATGGGTCGAGACAGACATAAGCACAACATGGAAATTTGCGCATACCTGGCGATAAAGAACAGTGCCCTTTTTATAGATCTCCAGCTCGTTATTGTAGTTGATACCAAACCGCTTGAAGAGAATCTCGTTTTTGTCTGCAGATAAAGTACCCTTATATCAAGTCAATTGTCTGTACTTAGAATTGGAAGAACAGTAGCCTACCTTTAACTCTTGCTCGGCGTCTGTGTTGCTCATTCCACCTTGCAGAACCATCGTCCAGAAGGTAGTGTTGTAGAGGTTATTGATATGACCTAGTCATCTTGGGTTAGCCAGGCGTGGTTCGAAACCAGGGGGATCGCGAGGCCGGACCGCCACGAAATAGCCACTTACAATCAACTTGTCTCCAGCTCATATAATCGCGGAGAATTCGGTTATTTGGGTAGATGACCGCACGCCCATCAAAAGAGGGCAGATGTGGTGGTAGAAGAGGTCTGTCAGGGAAGTATTCGCTCCACTTGTAAACGTAGTGTGCTGTGAACGTAGAGACGATGGTGGTTACTAGTTTCCTGGGTGGAAGAGACCCTGTCAATGGCCGTCCTTGCGAATTCCACCGCACGAAATAGAAGCAAAGAGGAAATACTCACCCATTGCGCCGCTCAAAAAGTTGGCAGTTGGGGTGGAAAACGAAACTGAGGGAGCACTGTCAGTGATTGGAGGATAGCGATGAAACTGAGCTGAACATACCTGAATTCATCACTGACTCCGTAGGCGATGCATAGGTCCGGCAGCTCTTTCATGACCTCAACTGCCGCAGCGTTCATCAGATCCAGTGCGCGGCGATCATTGGGTTTCGCGAAAGCGTAGTGGTCGGAGAGTCTATATAGGTTAGATTCCGAATACAGAAATTAATGCAGTGTTGGACCAGAACAGCAGCCATGTCACCATATCTAAGCGAAAGATGCATAAAAAGACGGATATATAGATGTCGTTTTTCCTTCCTGCAGGAATATCCCTCATGCCATTGGGCATCCCTACAAGTAACGAGAGATGGAGACTCACTTGTGAAATCCTCGTCCATCAATGCGGACCACAATCCACGTATTGGGGAGCAGCACATCCGGCTGCTCGAAGGACTTGACGTACTCAAATCTGTGTTCTTTTAGCAGCCGGACTGAATTTGTTTTTGGAATTTCCCATGCATACCTTGAGTTGGCCATTTTTGATGAACTGGACTTTGATGTTAAGCGACGAATAGGTCCGGAGAATGGAAGTGTTTTATTTTGTGCGGGCGATTTCTGCCCGCCCGCATTTGCCCCAGTCACTCGAGGGATACTTGATTCTGAGGACTTCAAGTGATTTGATGGATAAAAATAATACAACGTTTTTTTTTTGAAGACCACAGGCCACTATATGATCTAGAGACACCTAGTTGACTGCTATATAGAATCAAAAATTCCGTAAATAAAACTAGTATGTTGTTGAGATGCATATCAAAAACCCTAAGAAGCAGGATACTTTAGAATCTAGGAAATGAAAGGGAAAGGACAAAACCAAGATGGTCTATAGATACATGTGAGAATCATGAGTTTTCAATCTCAGGAATCTCTTCATCGCCAGTCTCACTGGCTCGCTCGCTAGTCTCGCTGGCCTTGTCAGACTTGCGGGACTTGCGAGAAAAGAATCCCAGGCTGCTGCGGGTTGAGCGATCGGCGGATGTCACACTTGAGACAGTGCTATCGACACTCTTGCCGAGCTGCGCTTCGCCGGCCGCATCCTCCTCAATATCACCTTGCGAGGATTCACCTTTCTTAGAGAAAAGTCCCGAGCGGTCCTTCCATGAGCTGAACTTGCTGGAACTGCCCTTGCGCGTGATCTTGCGGATGAACGACTCCTTGGAGGCATTGTCCATGGAAGTCGCGGATGGCATGCGCTCCAACGATTCATATGAATCGCCAGTGAAAAGGGACAGGGAGCGAGATGTGCGAGACTCCGAAGGAGATCCATCATACTCGTGAATATCAAATGGACTATCGGGGTCCTTGCGCTTGTCTGTGTCTGTTTCCGACTTCTCGCCCGTGAGAACAGCCGTGAACGCGGGAGCAGCGGGATTCAGCTTTGGGGTCAGCGGTCGATGAGACGATGATGGACGAGTGCCAATCGGTGCCTGGAGGGGCCGATGGTGGCGGTCGAATGTATCCTCCACGAAATCGGGCTCACCGGTAAGACCGAGAGGAAGATGACCTGAGGATCCATACTGGATTGAAGGCCGCCGAGAAGGAGCTCGAGACCAATTGGATGGCGTCGCCCAGTCGAATCCAAGCGGGCTGTTGCGGTGCCCAGCATTATCAGTCGATGGCCACCCGAAATGGCGGTTGTCTGTTGAGGGGTGCGGAAGCTGGTTCGGTGTGTCAAATGAGGTCGATGAAGGTCGCGGGGACAGAGAACCGCGTCGAACGCCACCAAGAAGCGACGATGGATCAATAGGATCATGTCGAGGACTGAATTGATTGTATCCACTGCTAAGATCGGAATTCCCGCGGGTACCAGCACCGCCGAAGCCAAATTTGCCGGATGAGAAAATATTTGAGAAGGCAGCTCGCCGGGAGGGGGCATGATCAGAAGAGCTGTCCATGGTAACACCAGCCGTGTTGCTTCGAGGAAACAATGACATCGGGTTTGCCCAATTACCAGTATAGCTCGATCGTCGCCGGCGTGCACCGATTGGATCCAGCTCGTCAATATTGCGAGGGAAGGATTGACTCTGGCCGGGTTTCAAAGAACCTAGCATAGGAGATTCGTCTGCCAGGGTTTTTCCACGAGGCCGGTGAAAACCGAAAAGCCCAGAAAGCTTTCGGGACGCGCTTTTCGGAGCTTCCCCAGCAGCAGACAGATGAACACCTTGGGATTCGTCCTGCCGATTTTGGGTCTCTAGTGGGCTGGCAAAGATACTTCCGGCTCGACTGCCCGAAGAAACAGGCGACACTGGGCCGTGTCCAAAGCCGTCCAATGGAGTACTGGACGCCTCCATAGTTGCGAATCTCGGACGGTTAATAGATCGTGGGAATTCTGGCGATTCCTCGTCACCGAGGAGATCGGATGGCAAGAGGGCATCCGCACGGGGACTCATTTGCGGGTTATTGAAAGCAACTTCCGCATCTGAGCGCATGATCTCGGGGGGTTCAGACAGGCCTGGAAGGGCCATACCATTATTGATATTGAAAAACGCAGAGCTCGGAGGGAATGTAGGGGAGTGACCGGACGGGTTATAGTTGACGCCACTTGGAAACGATGTCTCCACCCCCGGGAGGTTCAGAGGGGAAGACATATTGCTGTTAAGTGAGCTGCGGTGGCGGCGGGGCCGAATGGTGGCAGTGTTCGACATATCGAGATCCAAAGTCGGGAAGGCGAAGGGCCCTGAGCTGCTGGGTC